TCTGATCATATAATGATTTCTACTCAGGTTCAATTTCTAATCATCATTTTTTACTTGTAATAATCTCGCTCTTGATGTGCCCAATTGATATGATCATTCCATTGTCGAATATTTTGATCTCATTTACTTTCTATCCAGAATTGAGCATTAAATTGCATATTTTTGCAAAGCATATAGAGATCATTGCAAGAGGATAAAAATCGAATTTCTGGCACATATTTTTTCCAAATTTGTAGAAAAGACCATCAACTAATATTAAAATCAGAGGTTTTATCTAGACTAGATTGATAAATATGATATAATCCAATATAACTTTCACTTGCAGGAAGATATGTAATAGCCATAGTATCTTCGTGAAAGTGACGACCTATTAAAAAATTTTAAAATATATACAGTTTCATTCACAAAGAAAAAAAAAGGGTTTCAAAACATAAATAATTCCTGCTTATAGAAATAAGTTAATCCTTGAATTGCTACTGCTCACTTCACTGACAATCATTTGACCGAAAGTTCATTTAGCCGATATCATATAAGGTTAGAGTTACATAGTACTTGATTAGCTGCAGATATATATTTTTAGTAAATTGTCATTTAGCTAAATAAGCTGTCAGTGAACTGATTGTTGGTGAAGTAAGGTGGATCTATTTTGAATGCCCTAATATATAAATTTACCCGGTAATAGCAATCCGTGACAATTTGCATAATTGACGATAAATGTAAGAACATTTAAAATGGCTGCAAATGACAAAGCATTGTGAGATCTTCTTCCTGAAAGTGCGTGTACAATTGGTTTAATACTATTAAGTTGATAATTATTACGTGACAATTTGCATAATTGACGATAAATGTAAGAACATTTAAAATGGCTGCAAATGACAAAGCATTGTGAGATCTTCTTCCTGAAAGTGCGTGTACAATTGGTTTAATACTATTAAGTTGATAATTATTACGAATGCTTCTCCACTTTTTATCTGACAATGAGTATATGGTTTGAAAAGCTTTTTCGCAAATTTCACTATCATTTAGAGTATATTTAACTATTAAATATTTTTTTTCTTTATTATGCAAAATATCTTTTGAACAGGCCATTACATGAAGCATTCCTAATATAAACATGTTATACTTGGTTTTGGATAATTTTCGAATATTATCAAAAATTTGAAATGCGAATTCATGATTAATTTTAGTTAAACATTTTTTGGTTTTACAACAAACTAATGTACGAAGTTCAAAAAAAAAACCTCATTTTCCTGCTGATCTAGACAAATTGTTACTTCTTCATTAATTTCTTGCTCTTCATTATTTTCATTAATTGTATGTTGAGCAATATTCTTTGAAAATTTTCGATTTGTAATGAGATAAGAATTTGATTATCAAATTGTTGCATTTGTTTATCATCTTGTATATTGCTAATTTCTACATTTTTAAAAGAAGATTCTTTTATCTCGAATGTTTTCTTCAATTCTAACTCATAATCATTATTTGTTTGATAGAACGTTTTGAGTTGATTAAATTCTTCCGCTAACGAATATATTTTTGAATGTGTCTCTAAAAAAATTGAAGAGACTAGTGTATGTGTCGAATCCATTTTTTTTTTCTTTGATAAATCAAACACGAAATGAAACAAACATATATCTTATAAATATACGATTTGATTATACAATTAT